ATGCTTTTAATTTAGACATTTATCCTGGATCTTACTCATCAGGTCCTTTTTCTTATAATAATAAACCGAATGATGCTACAAATAGACTTGTTGTTCCCATCTCTCAAACTAATTGGAATGTGACATCCAACAATTGGTTTACCAGTTTCCAGTTTCTGTTACGTTTGCTAACAGAGCGCAAGTTGACCAGTGCAGGAGCTACATGTAAGAGGAATAAAGCAGAAATTCCAAATGAAATGTTCCAACTTCAAAACACAGAATTACATAGTACAGTCTTTGGATTTCAGAAAGATATAACATTGGCCTTGTATATGACAATGAAAAATGAACTGGTACTGCTAATGTCAATATTGCATCACAATGGAAATATTGATAGGGAAACCTTGACAAAATGGAACGCTGAGATAGAAGGTTTCTACAACAAAATCAAGAATAAAGTAGATGTTGTTGATGAATTATGCAGCAACTATGATGTCACTTGAAACACAAAGCATTGGCCAGTGGTTGTGTTTCACTTGGTTCTACACATGTGCACACAATTGCATTATGTAGAAAATAACAAGTGCAAAATATCACAGAAGTTTTCTTAGAGGATTGGAACTGGAGCTCATAAGAGATCATTTACAGCAGAAGAAAAAATGTTTCTGCTTAGGGGGAACTACACACAAAAAATTGTGAGGCATACTGTGAGCTGACAGCTGAGCACTCAGGCACAGCATTACAAGGATCTACAACAACAGGAAAACAAAAAAGGTGGCCGCTGTACCCTGTAAGAAAGGACAGGAAAACAAAACATATGTGTAGTCAACGTAAGCAATACTTGTGCATGGAATATCATATGTGAAGATTGCTTTGGGTATGACATTTGAAGCAAAGTTTATTTTTGTTGTAGAGTTCTATTGGTATTTTTATTGTAGTTCATATAGGTATATTTTAGATGTTTATCTTTTAGGTTTTGCAAGCAATAAATAGCTGGTGGGAAAAAGTTGATGTCTATTCTAAGCACTCATTGAATATTTTATATTTTATGTTATTGATATCTTATTTCCCTGCTAAATACATGTTGTACAATATAGTAGGAAGCTCCTGACAAAACAGGAGGGGAAGAGAGGACAGACTACTACCTAGGAAAGGACAGCTTAGCTCATGTGCTGTCAGTGTAAGTGAGATGTGCATGGAACTTGCATTTGTCACGTGTATAGACTGCCTTAGGTGTGATAGTTGAAGCAAAGCTTATTTTTGTAGATTTCTATTGATATTTTCATTTTAGTTCATATAGGAATTTGTTTCTGATGTTACGTTTTAGGTTTTGCAAGCAAGTACACAGCTGAAGTAAAAATGTTGATGTCAATTCTAAACCCACAATACACATTAAGAATTTAATACTTTATTTTGATATTTTATATTCCTGTTAACTACACACTGTGTAATAAAATAAGAACCTCCTGACAAAGCAGCAAGGCCTACAAAAAGGCCAGGAAAGCACAATATATGTGCTGTTAATGTGAATGATATGTGTGTATGGAACATGCTGTTGTCATGTGTACTGACTGCATTATGTGTGATAATTGAAGTTAAGATTATTTGTTTTGTAAAGTGCTACTGGTATTTTAATTATAGTTCATATAAGAATTTATTTGTACTTTTCTTTCTGAGACTTCGCACAACAAAAACCAGTTGATACTGAAAAATTTGATGCTTTTTTATAAACAATAAATATTTTTAAAAAACTTTATTTTTATGATTTTTTTCCTACTCACTGTTTGATAAAACTCATAAAATTAAAATTAATAATTTGCCAATAGAAATAGTCTGAAGAATGCCTTTATGACAAAATTAGTGTTATGCACCTTAAAAGATGACTCGTGCACATGAGTCACCTTAAAAGATGACTCATGACCCCTGTAGAACTTGTGAACTAACAAATACTTAAGGCCCATGCCATCAGGCTTTACTATAGGGCTCGAATGTTTTTATTTCTGAAGGATTCCAGATCCACCGACTATATCGTTTTTTGTTAGTTAATTTTGTTTTGTTTTATTTTTGGTACCAGGGATCAAACTCACTACCTGGCACCTGCCAGGCAGGCACTTATGCCACTGAACTAAATCACCAGCCACTTGTTTTTTGTTTTTGAGACAGGGTTTTGGTATGTAATTCATGCTGGTCTTGAACTCACTGTGGAACCCAAACTCGTGGCAGTTCTCCAGCCTCAGTCTCCCAAATGCTGGGATTATGAGTGAGTACTACCACAGCCGGCTCACAGGTTCTCAGATTTTTGGTTTTAGAATCCATTTACTGTTAAAAGTCATTGGAATCCTCAAAAAGCTTTGTGAATTATATCTATTGATAGTAAAACTGAGGAATTTGTGAATATGTAGAAATAAATGTGATCAACCAGGCACAGTGACATTGGCAGATGCTTAAAATCCAAACACTTTAGAGACCAAGGCAGGAGGATTATAAATTCAGCCTGGGCAAGTGAGGTCTTACCTCGAAATTTAAAAAAACTTGTTTAAAAAAAAAAAAAGGATTGGGGTTATAACTCTGTTTCAAGGCCTTGAATTCAGTCACAAGTCCTGCCAAAAACAAAACAAACAAAAAAAATGAACTCATTATATGCTAAGAGGTAATGTAATTTGATAAAAACTTTTCTAAAGCAAAAGCTAAAATTTATTGAACAAAATGACATTGTTTTAAATTTTTGCAAATTGTAAGAGACCAGATAGTGAGGGTCAGGCCTAACTGACCTTCTCTGAGCCCAAAGGAGAAAACCAACAAACTGCTCCTTCTGTTCAATGCAGGAGTGCTGGGACCTTGCAGGTTCTAAGGAAGAGTCAACACAGTTGAGATCCAGTTGTTTATCTGGGCACGTACTATAGATAGTAGAAGGGAGATGAATCTTCTACCCTCACTACTTGTTCCTGTGTCTGAGAAAATAAAGTGAGGTGAGCCAAAGTCTCAGGGCTCTTTCTCTTAAGAGAGGCAAGAGCTCCCTCACCCCTCCTTTTAAACTAATTTTGTGTCTCTTTAATTTTCATTCTGGTTCGCCCTCTGGTTGGGGGCATTCCCAGCAGGCGTGGTTCCCTATGGCTTCTTTAGTATGAAGGATAATTTTGCATTCTGTGGCAATATAGCATGCAGTGCCTGTGGAAAGCTCTTGTTACACACTTGAAAGACAATCTAAGAAAGGAAAATAACTTGTTACTGTTCTTTTAAAAATAGTTTTGAGATGGGTGTGGTGGTACACAACTGTAATTCCAGTATTTGGGAGGCTGAAGTGGGAGGATTGCTATAAGTTCCAGGCCAGCCTGGGCTACATAGTGAGAGTTCAAGGGCAACCTAAACTACAAGGCAAGAGCTTGTCTCCAGAAAAAAAAAGAAAAAACCCCCAAAATTTGAAATGCTAAAACTCTGGCTCAATGGCTGAGCACTTGACCATCATGTGGGAAGCCCTGCATTTGATCCTCATTACTACCAAAAGAAAAGAAGGAAGTTTTTATACGAGGACCTCCTGACAGGTCTTTGGGATCCCTGAGAACCGAGACACTTTGTAGTAATGCTGGGATTTAAAAATTTTAAACTGCAACGATGGGTACTGAACTTAACGTCAGTGCCCAGTTTATAGCACTTGAGTATCACTGGGTTATGTCCCTGTTATTTCCTTGAGCCCTGTTCTTTTCCTTTTCCTCACAGTGAAGAACCATTTTAATGTATACAATATGTACCCCTTTTTGGTATCATGTTCTTGTAAACAGTTAGTGATGCTTATGTATTTCAACATGTAAGTGTATGGTAGTACAGAGTTGTTTCTGACTTTATTCAGCACTCCTTTGAAGATCTTATAGCTTTTGCCTGTGCCTTTAAAATATTGCTTCTAATAGCATGATGTGACATGCAGCCCCAGCATCTTACCTGTCCCAGCTCGCTCACATGCTTCCCTGTTTCTGCCTCCTCATTGTCTCCTCTTAGACCTGCTTGAGGTTGCTGTGGGAACAGAGGAGGGGGGTGTGCAGTAGATAGCATGTTGGGATAGTAGCAGGGTTGGTTTATGGATTGAAGGATTGCGGAGTGCCAGGTTCCTTGACAGCAGTGGTGATGTACAAATGTTGCTTTATCCATCCCACATTCTCAAACTTGCCATTCTTCAACATTTGTTATTTTCCTCAGAAAATAGGCACTTTCTGTTTACCAGTGAGTTTGATACTTTATGTGCTAGTTGCCCTTTTACATTTCCTGTGAAACTTACTCGTCATATTCCCTTCTTGTCTTTATATTTAGGTGGTACTTGATGTGCAGCATTTTTCTTGAGTCTTTTCATCCTGTCTGGTGTTAGACATTGTGTTATCTTCTTGCTATCTGTTCATCATATTCCTTGAATGTTTTTTATTGGTTAAAAACTTCTAATTTGATGCTATTAACTTTTTTTTTTTACATTTCGTGTTTTGATAGTGTGTCTTTTCTTTCCTTTTCCTATAACTCAGATACCCCTATGCTTTTTTCTTTGAACTGTAAAATTTTGTCTTTAATTTTAGCTCATTTAACATCTAATTTTGTGTATTTTGTTAAGTGTTTTTATTTAATGATTACATATTTTTTCCTAAAAATAAAGTCATGATTTTGGAGGGCAGAAGAAACGTTGGGTGGCAGAAGATATCACTAAAACTAAACTTAAGTTAAAACACTGAAGATTATAACCATATTTTTCCATAAGAATCAGAATTAATGATCTTATTTTGCTATATTATTTTTTATAGTTGTTTTGTTTCTGATTTTTGTACTGGGGATTGAATTCAGGATTTTATGCTGGCTAAGCTGATAAGCACCTGCTCTTCCCACTGAGCTATATTCTAAGTTCCTTTTGTTGGTGTTTCATATTGAGCATATTGATACTATATTTTTATTTCATAGGTAACTGAATTTTATTTTTGAAGGAGAGTTACTTAAAATTGTAAGAGATTTGATACTGGGTATCACAAACACTTTTTTAAAATTTTCAGGTGACTTGCTGAGTAACCTGTTGCAGAGTCCTAGTTCAGCCAAGCTTTTAAGTCAGCCAATCCCCATCCTCGATGCAGAGAGCGAGTATGTCTGCTCCTTGGCCCTGGAGTGCCTGGCCCATCTCTTCAGTTGGATTCCTCTGTCTGCCAGCATCACCCCGTCCCTCCTCACCACCATCTTCCACTTTGCACGCTTTGGCTGTGACATCCGAGCCAGAAAAATGGCGTCAGTGAATGGCAGCAGCCAGAACTGTGTTTTGGGTCAGGAGCGTGGTCGACTTGGGGTCCTGGCCATGTCCTGCATCAATGAACTCATGTCCAAGAACTGTGTGCCTGTGGAATTTGAGGAGTATTTACTACGTATGTTCCAGCAGACTTTCTACCTCTTGCAGAAAATCACCAAGGATAACAATGCCCACACAGTGAAGAGTAGGCTTGAAGAGCTTGATGAGAGGTAATGACAGTAGGTGTGAGTTGGTTGTGCCCTGAGAAAGGGCCTGTCTGTTTATGTGCTGTATAGTGGCTGGAATCCCCTTTGGTTTCAGAATGCTGGTGAGGAGCAGCAAGATAGTTGTGTACCAGTAAGTCCACGAGAGTGGAAGGGTGAGGGTGGCTGGCTGAGGGAAGTGCACTGATGTGAAAAGTACTTGTGGATCGTGTAGGTGGTTGTCTATTTTTTCCTATCCATCTTTTGTCCTCCCTTCCACTCCTGTTCCCTGCTTCCTCATTATTGCTTGCAGGTCTGAGGTGGTGCAGGAACTGAGACCACTACTCCTGCGTAGGCAAGATCAGAAGAGGTCTGAGGAGGTACAGGAGTTACACTTGCCCTTTCTCTCTTGGTGTTGCTTGTTGTTTTTTACTATTGACATTTCACAAGTGAACATCTTGGTGTTACTATTGTGACTTTTACACAAATGACAAGTTTTGTCAAAAGTTAGAGATGTTAATGTGAATGCAGATTAATGTGGCACGCATTTATATTGCTTTGTTGTTGTCCTCTTGAATATAGCCTAAAATTACCCAAACCCATTTTTCTTAAAGTTGTTTAGAAGAGATTTCATCAGGGAGTCTGAGGCAGAGTATTATTTATTTTCTTCACAGCTGATGCCATTTCTCATACCAGTTTTCACTAATATGATGTTACTGTCGTATATTAGACAAGGGAGATTGGAGACTTACACTATGAAAAATCGTGTCTGTTCAGAAACATCTAGACAGATACATCATATTGAATTAGTACATATTATAGATTGTCTAGCAGCAAATATTGTTGATATTTTAGTTAATTTTTCTTGGACTATTCTTGTACTATACAGAACAAAATATAAGCTATTTCTTAGAGTAAATTAGTAGACTATAAAACTGTCTAAAATTAAGTTTTAGTCTTTTTTTGGTACCAGGAATCAAACTCAGAACCTTGTACTTGCCAGGCAGACACTGGGCCACTGAGCCCTACCCTTAGTCCTCTTTTTTTTTTTTTTTTTTTTTTTTTGGTACTGGGGATTGAACTCTCAACCTAGTGCTTGCCAGGCCAGCTACTGAGCTATACACCAGCCCCTTAGTCCTTTTTAAATTAGGGCAGTTTCAGGGTTTTCTTATTTCCTTTTTGCTTTTTCTTGTTTTTTTGAGACAGGGTCTTGCTGTGTAGTGCAGGCTGCCTCAAACTCCAGTGATCCTCCTGCCTCAGCCTCCCTAGTGCTAGCCTGGCCATGCTTGGCCATTTCAAGTTTCTTAAATTAAAAGAATCAATATATTTACCCATTATAAACAAACTTTATGTGTCATTTGCTTTGTGTAATCACAGAAGAATCCATAAGCTGATGCCACTTTTTCATTATGTAGTACTAACTTTTTACATGCATTCGAAAGCTTTGGTAGTCTCACAGTTTTATACCCTTTCTAGCTTTGATTGATAAAGACTTCGCCAGCCATCCATGGTGACATGCACTTGTAATCCCAGCTATTTGGGAAACTGGGATAATAGAATCAAAAATTTGAGGCCAGCCTGAGCAACTTAGACTATGTCTCAAAATAAATTAAAAAATATTAGCTTAGTGCTCCTTAGGGTCAATCCTCAGTATAGGGGGAAGCAGTGAAGAAGGCTACCATATCCTCATATATTAATAACAAAAATGCAGCTGCTTATGCTGACCAACCATAATGTATCAGTTGTTTTCACATTTCCTTGAAGCACAGTATAACCGGTCACAGACACTTTGTTATGGCTTATGTTTAGATAATACAGAAATGTTATCATAGATTATCTATGTTCTGATTTTGTTTTGGTCTTGGTTTTAATCCAATGCTTCCTATTATCCTGCAAAAACCCCAAAGTATCTGGAAGCAGAAAGGTGACTTCTCAATACTGCGTGCTTGCTTCCTGGCTCTTGGGTCTCTTACTACTAATTCTGTATAGCTCCGTCCGTTCTTGGTTGTTTAGGAGCTGCTTAACAGATCTTGGCTTCTCTTCTCCCAGACTGCTTTTTTTTTTTTTAAACCCCTAACTTCATATTGCTCATTAGCACCTGTACTGGAAGGTGGGTAAGGGCAAGAAAATGAGGCGAAGTCTAGTCTATAGTTTTAATTACTAAACAGTGTAATTTTTTAAAAACTGAGTTGGAGATTAATATAGATGCTGGATATTTTGCTCATGACTTGTCTTTGTTCTTTTTTGGGTGATAGAGAATTGAGTGTAGCTTTCTAAAGAACAGTAAATTAGTTGACAGCTTTGAAGATCCTTGTAAAAATGTAAGAAATACACTGAGTGAGGAATGAGAGTTATTTCTCTCTATTGTTAGTGATTAAAGCCTACAAAGAGAAGTCTCTGTACTTTCCTGTCTCACAACAATTGATTTTTAATACCTTACTGTTTTTCAAGTTTTTGGCTCCATATGCCAGATATGGCTATTCTCCTTATGGAAACAAACAAATGTGTATTTTTGGAAAGCTACAAATAGAGCTGGGGATTTAGCTCAGCAGCATAAATGCCTGCCTGGCAAGTACAAGGTTGTGAGTTTGATCCCCAATAACACCCCCCACCCCCAAAAAAGCTTCAAATAAACTCTCATATGTATGGCCCACCTATCAGTTTGGACAGGCAGAGTTGCCACCTGAGGATACTAGGTCCCAGGAACAGGATGGGACATTTTATTTCTTGGACAGTTTTGTTGTTCTGAGGAATAGCCATCTTCTCTGCTTTTGTTATTCACATATCTCTGCTATAACTTTTTGCAGTTAGGAATATCAGAATTGCTTTTAGATATTATTTAATTTTCAGTTAAGAATTAGTATGTCTTTCCCTTTTTTGTCTATTGTGATTTATAAATGTATGTTCATTTCATTTTCTAATCACTTTTTGGTATTTAGGGGCTTAAAATGACAGTTTCTGAAATGTGAGAGTGATGATGTGCTGTGTATTTAATAACAGCAATCTCTTATTTTTGCAGCTATGACCTACACTCTTCTGCGAGATAATTTTGTGAATATAAATGAATTGGGGATTCACTGTGCTGTGAAAAGAAAGAGCACTGGATTCATTGGGAGTGAATGTTAGTTCTCTTCTGCCATGAATTGGCTGAGTGACCTTGGCTGGTTACTTTACCTCTCTAGGTCTCATCCGTAGTATGGAAACACCAGACTAAATTGTTGTTGAGGCTTGCCCAGCTTCAAGAGCCTTCCTTCCTTGTGTTCAGGAATCACTTTGAGAGTGGAGCGGGATTATCCCCCGGAGCCAGGGGAGCAGAAATGAATGTTAGGTTATAAGCCTGAATGTATCTTACCTGAATGTCCTGCCTTTTAGAGAGCCTTATTTTTATGTCTGTAACACAGTTCTTTTTTATTTGCCCTCCTTGCAAAGAAAATCAGTCTTTTAGATTACCCAGATTTAAGTAACTTAATAATCTGCCTGTTACCTTTTTAGCACCATCCTTTCACTTACTTGAGTCATAACACTAATGAGCTAGAAAATAAGAAAGCATCAGCTTATACAAGCCTTGGTAGATAGTGTCTCAGGATTAAAGTTGCTTTTCTACTGTTTCAGGTGATAATGGAATGAAGGGTTGCCTGTCATGTAGGTAATTGTTGCAGGTCTTTATATTTTTAACTGAAAATATAAATATTTATGGTTACATTCTGAATGAAATTTGGATTGAATTTAAGTTCTTTTCTAAGGAGGTGGCTAGGATTTTTATGTCCCTCTTTTCTTCTTGTCTCCTTCAGCTACATTGAGAAGTTTACCGACTTCCTGCGGCTCTTCGTGAGTGTTCACCTAAGGAGAATTGAGTCCTATTCCCAGTTTCCCGTGGTGGAATTTCTGACACTTTTGTTCAAGTACACCTTTCACCAGGTAAACTGCCAGAATTGTTGTTCATCCTTTTTGAAGGAAGGATCTTTCCTGTTATTTCCAGAAGAGGAAGCTTTATTTTATTTGACAGATATTTTATGTAGTACTTCATTCATGAAGTGTAATGCCTTTGATCTTCTTCATGACCCTGTGAGACTTCATGATGCTAGGTGCTGTTACATGCATTTCACATATTAGGAGACTTGAGCACAAAGAATAACCTTTTCAGAGCCACACATAGACTCTGTACTCTTACCTACTATCATGACAGAGAAGCAAAGGATAGAAACCAAATTAGGACTTTCAGTTCTGTTTCTTAACTGTCACTAAGGACCCCTCCCCCCACCAAAAAGTAGTACAGTGAACCTATAAAGAGTTAAGTTTTGGTGGTATGCAGTTTTTTTTTTTTTTTCCTCCTGTTTAACAGATATTTTTTTGAGTTTCTCTTCTATTTCAGGAATGGGACATACAGTATTTGTTCTGAAAATTTTTGCCTGTGGTGGGTTTACATCCCCCTAACCATCTGTTTTATATATACATATATATATGTAGTTTCAAAACTTTATCATGGTACTATATATATCATAAAATTAACTCACTATTATTTAAGAGCTCAGAGAATTAATAGAGTTGTGCAGTTATCACTATACAATTCCATCACATACCTCTCTTTGCCGTGTGTGTATGTTTAAAGCATGCTTTTTATTAAAGTGTGGCACACATATAAAAATACTTAAATAATGCAGGTGTGGTCTAATGACTTTGCCCAAATAAACATCCATTGAACTACAGGTGAGTCAAGAAGTTAAGCATTGTCTGCACCCTGAAATCCCCTCCTGTCCCCTCCTTGAGTTATTTCCCTTTCCTTTCTTCTTTCTAGAAGTAACTTCAGTCCTAATCTTAATGCCACAAGTTAGTTTTGCCTATTTAGAGCTTCTCTAAATGAAAGCATATAATGTGCATTTGTTTTGTCTGGCTTTTTTTTTTTTTTTTTTTTTTTTTTTCCATTTTGTGAGATTCATCCATGTTTTCTGTGGCAGTAGTTTATTCATGTTCATTGTGTTGCAACAGTCAGTTATCTGTTAGTCCTTTGTACAGCTGATTTGGCTGAGTAATCTTGGATCATTCTGCATTGACAATTTTTATCATAACCTGAGGAACACTGGTAGCTCCTTCTTGTCCTCATATACACTATAAATGAGACTGCTGCATCAGTGATGGCATTTTATTTTAAAGTTTGTCCTTTTAAAGTTTTAATTTTATTTTATTTTGTTTCATTTGTTGGATTTTTTGAGACAGGATTTCATTGCATAGCTCAAGCTAGCTTTGAATTTGGAGTCCTCCTGTCTCAGCTTCCTGAGTGCTAGGATTCACTGTACCACTGCATCTGGCTAGATTGGCTGGCTGGCTTGCTGGCCTCCCCTCCCCTCCCCTCTCCCCTCCTCTCCCCTCCTCCTCCCCTCCCCTCTCCTCCTTCCCTCCCTCCCTTCCTTCTTTCCTTCGTTCCTCCTTCCCTCTTCCCTTCCCCTTCCCCTTCCTTCTTTTCCTCTTTCTTTCCCCTTTTCTCTTCTTTTCTTTTCTTTTCTTTTCTACCACTAATACAGCTTAATGAGGCCAGAAGATACAAGAGTCTACACTGAGAGGACTATAACATGTATGTCATTTAGAATTTGGAGCCAGGGTTTGGGATGGCAGCTAGCCTTTCTCAGAGAGGGACTTGGTATATAAAACTAAGAGTACCCAGTGTGAAGGGTGACCTCTTCCTGGGGTTGATGAGGTTTGAATAGTTGACAGCAGCAGAGGAGGGCTCAAGCTTGAAGTATCTGGGTGTCTGGTAGAGGGGCAGTGAGTGCAGGGCAGAGAGGAAAGTGTAGGCCTAGCAGACTTTGGAGGTGACGAGATTGTGAGAGGGTGAGGATATAGAAGAAAAACAGAGACGGGATCATTTGAGACAGATCCAGAAAACTGTTAAAGGAGACCAGGAAAAGAAAATTGCGAGAAGGCCACATGAGTGTTAATAGGTATTTTAGACTAAGTGGGTCTGAAAGGATGAGGAGTCAATGCTGAGGTCAAAAAGAAGGGCCTTATTTGGGGAAAGTGGCTTACAGTTTGCTCCATATATAGAGTAGGCTCTTTCAGGGAGATATATCCTTAGGAATTGGAAGGAGAATTAAGAAATTGAAGGAGAGCAAGGGGAAATAAAAAGAATTAAGATATATGTGCATGTACCAATTCCACACGCTGAATGTAATCAATCATTCGGTATAGCAAACATACACTAATAAGCACCAAAAGTAAAATGGACGTTTTTAGTGTGTATATAATGTAGAGAAAGCTAAGAAAATAGTTTCAGAGGCTGGGGATTTAGTTCAGTGGTGCAAGTGTCTGCCTGGCAAATGTGAGGTTGTGAATTCAATTCCTGGTATTTAAAAAAAAAAAAAAAAAAGCTTGGGAAAATATTTTCAGGTTGGTGGTGTTTTTATTGGCAGAGCACTTGCCTAACAGGCATGAGGCCATGAATTTCATTGCCAGCAGCCCCTCTCCCAGGTATTTTATAGTACAGAGGTCTTCTTTATGCTTGGACCTAAAAGTTTTGTGTTGGATCTCTGACTGTTTGTTTGATCTATGTCCTTGGCAAGTTATTTTAATTTTCTTAGATTACGTCTCACTTCTAAGACAATGGGCTGTAGTGGCGGTAGCTTTCAGGGTCTTCCCCAGTGTCTGTCTTATGATTCTTTTGCTAGACTTCTATGTGTTAGTTTTTTATTGAGCTGAAAGTGGTGGTTTCTTTTATATGGGGAAAAGAAATAGAACAAGAAAGTGATCAAGAGGAAAACAGAAAGCTTCTGTCTTCTTCCTTTTACCTGGAGGCTATTACGGCTGAGCTTCCTCTGACTCCTGGCCTCTTACGTGAGAGCACTCTTTTCTGGGCATAGGCTTATTGTGGAAGTGGATGTCTTTGAGATCCAGACAGAACTGCATTTCTGAGCATCAGGTATAACAACAGATGCTTATTGTAGGATAGACAGCCTTTCCTTGAGACACAGAGCAGAGATAAGGTGGCACAATATACTCTTAAGGATCAAGATTTGGCTATAATTCTTTTAGGTAGGATTAAGAATAAGAAGTTTAAGTCTGTCTTTCTTTCTTTCTTTCTTTCTTTCTTTCTTTCTTTCTTTCTTTCTTTCTTTCTTTCTTTCTTTCCTTCCTTCCTTCCTTCCTTCCTTCCTTCCTTCCTTCCTTCCTTCCTTCCTTCCTTCCTTCCTTTCGTCTTTTTGAGACAGGGTCTCATTATATAGTTCAGGCTGGTCTTGAACTCACAACCATCCTTCTGCTTGAGCCTCCCAAGTGCTGAGATTATAGGTGTGAGCCATGCCTGGCTAAAGTTAAGTGTTTTCAAAAACGAGTTCACTAACAGTGTGAACTTATTTTATCATAACCTGCATAGTAGGAAAATACATCTTTTTCAGGTCTAGATTGTCATTATGAGTGTAAATGTTTATGCCTTCTCTTTCTCAATTCATAGAAATTTTAGTACTGGAAAGCATATTTTGAAAGAACAGTATGACAAAAGATGGTGCTTAGGGTGTAACCATTTCTCATATTCTATCCTTTTTCCTGCGTTATTCTTTAACCCAACTGCTCTGCCATTAGTCTCCATGGTCACTTCTCACCTGATGTTTTTTTTTTTACTCTGCTTGGCTGCTGAGCCTCTTGAGGCATCTGTATGAGCCTGTTCGTTTCTCTGTATGCCTCTGTAGTCCCACCAATTTCTTCTGTCCTTGCAGGTTTCATGTTGTCCTTCTGAAAGCAGTGGCTGACATGGCGTGGCCTAAGTGAAGGGCCTCTGGAACAGAAACTTTCCATGGTCTAGCTCTCTGATACTGTTCCTTAGTTGCTTTGTTGTTTTAGGAAGATGACTTTACTTCTGAATCTTGATTTCTTTAAAGTTGGAAGAAAAAAAAACCTTCGGAAGCCACTTTAAAAGATAAATAGATCAATGCAAATGAAAACAAAGCACTGTAAACCAACTGGAAGATGAGAGGAGACATTATATATTATTAGTTTTTTAAAGAAACTTGTTAGAATTTTCAGTGGTCAGTTAGCTGTGGGATCTGAAAAGTGTATAGGATACAGGTACATTTGAAAAAATGGGTCCATGAAGGTTTGGAACATTTGAGTGACTCCAAAAGTAGAGTCATCATCATGATCCTAATAACTTGTATCCTCAGCCATTGTCAAAGGATCATGGGGAGCTTTTGGGCCACACACAGGCCTTACTTGTATGGCTTGCAAGTGTGGAGGTGAATGGTGGTGCTTCAGGTCACAGAGTGGTATGCTGGCCACCTTTTTTTTTTTTTTTTAAATCCTTTGAGCCTTGAACCATATACTAAGTTCTCAGTTCAAAGGCTTGAGAATGAGTGTAATTATGAAGTACTTATTGACACAAAGGTTGAATTTAGGTGATAGCCTTTTCTCCAAAGCACTTGCACAGGCATCAGATCAGTCAGGTTCTTTGACGGGGTGTGAGGGTATTTTCAAATCAAGGGAGGCTGATGGGCAGCTGACTTCAGGGACTCTAAGCAAGCAGAGCCAAGACAAGACCATATCCCTTGAATATACGGGTGGTAGTGGCTTATCTACTGACTACATGATTTTTCACGTGATGTCTTAATTGGTTCTCCTGGTTAGTTTCATGTCATGAACATCCTAGGTTTGATCAGGTAGGAGTACAGACAGGACTTGGTCACTTTATTTCCTGAGGTTGGTCTTACTGGGTCTAGACTAAGTTATAGACGTCTAGTTCTAGGGCTACTTTTTGGGTTATGAGGTTAGAGTCTGCCTGGTTTTTTGAATTATAATTTTTCTGTTTGAGATTTCAGTTTGGTTGTAGAACTCTGAATATACTGTCTACCATATAATGTTAGTTATTTGTCAGGTAGTTTCCTTACGTGTACTTGTAAACTTTTGAATTTTCTTGGAGATCAGAAATAGAAAGAAGCTGGTCCAAGAAGATGATGGTGTTATTTCTTCCTATGTTTGATTTTGTGTGGTTGAACCCAAATGTGTGGTTCAGTGAGGCAGTCACTAGAAAAACTAATGGGTTTTTGTCGGTGGCCAGAATTTAAGTGGACCTGTCAGAGATTGGAGCCATATGCTAGAGCCTGAATGTGTATAGGGAGGACTAGATGTTGAAGAAAGTGAGGCCTAAACTTTGCATGAAACAGACTTCAAGGATCTTAAGAAAGTTAACAAGTACCCAAGTCCAGGCACTAGGACCTTAAAAGACTTGCTTTTTTCTTCTTGTTGTCCCTGTCAGTACCTCCTTCAAGGGTGTTGTTAGCCCATTTGGTACTGCTACTTTTGCAAACTGTGTAATTCCCTGAGGCTGATACTTAACAGCTCCTTTTCAATTTATTATATAGGAAGACTTGTAAATATTACTCTCCTGACTTTCAAATGTGTAAAGCTGTCACCTTGAAGCCACTCTAACTTATTTTTGGTTTTGAAATGGTTTGTAGTAGAACAAGAATTGATTGGGGGGTAAAAGGACTTCCTGTCTCTGATCTTTAACTCATATTTCAGGATCTCAGTTGCTTTATTTCTAAAATAGATTTGAATTGGATGATCTATAAGAGCTCTCTTTACCATTGTCTCAGATTTTAAGACAGGCTTTTGCTCAGTGTTTTTTTATAATTCAGTTACAGTATTTCCCTCATGTTGTGTTCCATGTGTTAGGTTCAGTAGGGCTCAATAATAAAGACTGACTAAAAACTGCCACTGGTGGTTATCAGGAATAGGGGAACCTAGGCTTATTGTTTTACTGTTCTGGTGGAAATAAACACTGGTATGTGTGTTTTTAAGCAATAGTTACATTAAATAATTTCATTATCTGGCTTTCTTTTGTACCATAGCCTACTCATGAAGGTTACTTCTCTTGTTTGGATATCTGGACACTCTTTTTGGACTATCTAACAAGTAAAATTAGAAGTCGTCTGGGAGACAAGGAAGCAGTTCTCAACAGGTAACTCTGATAAATAAAAACAGACATTTGTGCCAGTTGCTCTTGTGGCCTAAAGGGGCAACCGCACGTTTGAACCTCCTCAGAGGAACTGAGACATGAAAGCTGTTCAGACAGTAGTGCCACTGAGCATTTTCTTCTTTTAAATAATTTTCTTAAAACAAGTGTTTCTTCTGATTAAAAAGATAGTATGTATTAATTTTCTAGGTATGGTAATACTTTTGTGGGGTTGTTTTATTGTTTTAAAGGACTTCATTTTAGCGATACAACCAAGTATCTACCAAATGAAATGATGTGACATTTGGAATTTGCTTTAAAATAACCCATTGAGGGAGGAGAGTGGTTTAATGTATAAAAGAAATAGGGCTGGCCATGTATTGGTAATTGAAGTTAGTTGATAAGAACTTGGAATTTATGTTCTGGCTCTTTGTATGTGTTCCATAATTTTCAAAATGCTTGTCAAGAAAACAATTATTTATTTTTAAAACTAGGAAAAGATACAAAATCATAAATAGGATCTGTAATCTACTCCAGAGGCAATTACTTTTGTACTTTTTAATTGTATTTTTTTTAGTCACAGAAAATTGGGAAACATTTGTTGTCCACCCCTCTCCTTCTGTGTTTCTTGCTTGCAGTCAGAAAATACATTCCTGGTACAATATATAGTAATCTTATTGCTATTAGGGGAGGGAGTGTTGGAGGTTCAGCATGCTAGGAAAATAATGGCAGGATCCATATATAGAGATAATAAAATGACTGCGCTTTTTTCTTGGCAGAAGTGTACCCATCATATTCTCAGTATATGGCTCTATTTTAGTTACATACGAATAGGCAAGTTTGAAAAGGGCAAAAAAAAAAAGAAAAGGAAACTGAGTGTGATAGCTTATACTTATAGTGTCAGCACTTTGATAGGCTGAGGCAGGAAGATTGTAAGTTTGAGCTCAGTCTGGCAATTTAGTGATTTAGCATGACCTTGTCTCAAAAACGGATAACAAAAGGTCTAATGTAGCTCAGTGGGAAGGCCCTGGGTTCAATTCCCAGTACCACAACAAAACAAAAACCCGCTTGTTTTACATTGTAGGATTTTAACCTTAAACCCATATTTATTGTTTACCATTCAAGGCGTTTCCAGAGGACAGGTCATTTCCAGAGGACAAGTCTTTGGGACAAGGAACAAGATTTATTTGGAAAGTTAGCAAACCAAAGAAAATAGAGACTATTGCCAACAGTACCATTTAGTGAAGGAGTTGGTAGGCTAGAGACTTAACTGCTTAATAGTTTGCTCTGAGCATCATTTGGGCAGAGCATTTGTTTACATATTGACCATCCCAAGTGCTCTGGCACATGTCATTTCAACCAGATTCTTGTTTTCAGGAGATCCACTTGTCTGTTTATATGTTTTACATCAGCTACTTTCTACATACTTTTTATTTGAAAATTGCATTTGCCTTTGATTTTTGTGTGTAGTTATAACCTAAGAAGTTCTATTTTTTTTTAAAAACTAATTTGTGTTTTATTGATGAAAAATAACTAATTTTGTTCTACCATCTGAAAATTCTTATAAGTACATTAGATGCAATTGTTATGGTTTTCTGAAACTTAATGATAATTCTTTTATAATACAAAACAGACATGTTCAGGCACTGAGACTGAATAGGAAGGAAGTGCCAAAAGATCTGCAAAGTAAAAAATAAAAAAGGAGATTTATTAGCATATCAGAGAAGGAAAGTCTGTGTTATGGAATGGAGAGACAAAAAAGTCTTATCATCTATTGCTCATAATATAGAAATGATAGAACTTGAAAGAAACAAAACTAAAAAAGTTCCAATAGTGGTCAGTGATTATAATTCTGTGGATGGTGTGGACAGAGTTGACTAACATCTAGTGAGCTGTCCTGTAATCAAAAAGTGAGAAAAACGATTAATATAAAACATTATGCACCTCTGGACCAAACAGTACAGAACTCAAACAATTTGAACTCATATTCAAAATAAAGGAGTTCAAAAAAGTCATTTAAAATTTAGATCAGGTTTAATAGACCAAGTAATCACAAAATAATACAGAATAGTCAAATGCCAACCAGGATGTCCATTATCAACATCTTCGCCATTACATTTAGTGGGTAGACATTTTATTGGAGTTATACCCCCTATAGGAAAAAAGAAAAAGACCAGCACAAAGGTATAAATTCTGTCATTTAAAGAAAGACAACGCAAAAATAATTTGGAAAGAGACTAGATACTACTGTTCAGATTGTAACATTGCCTTGTTATATTGAATATTTTAAGATATAACACATGTAGAAAAATTACTGAATAAATTTGATAAAATTGTCATTCTTGGCCTGGCGTGGTGGTGCACGCCTACAGTCCAGCACTTGGGAGGCTGAAGCAGAAGATCACTGTGAGTATGGGGCCAATCTGGGCTACATAGTGAGCCTCTCAGAAAATGAAAACAAAACAAAACCAAACACTATCATTTTTATATTTCCTTTTATATTATAAACATTAATGAAAAATATGCAAGTTTTGGTTACTCTGTATTTAAATAGTGATAAATGGTTAAATAGAGAGTTGCAGGGAGACATAGCAGGTAGGTGAGTACCAATGTAATTCCAAATTTAGGTAGTTAGAAATTTTGCACAGTTTGCTTTTCTGAAGGAGATGAGTATTGTTATTTATAGGTCAATGGATGTTTCAGTTTTTATAAATCTAAAGAAAAGTTAATGATTAGAAAGTCTTATTATTCATGTCCTTCTATTTCCTTTGCCCAAGAATAGTTAATTCTGCAATTGATTACTAGGATACAAAAAGCATCTGTCTTTTCCCCAGAAAGCAGTAAAAGGCTTCTTTGACCCTCATGGGGGGGGGGGGGCGGGAGATAGAGAAAAGCAGCTTTCCTCTGAAGAACAGGCAGAGATAGCATTTGCTGGAGAACATTTTTAAATCTGATAGATGGCTTCAGTTAGAAGTATCACCTACAGTGGAGTCAGTGGGAGACTAGTAACATACCACTCATATCACTGTGTGTGTGACTTCTAAAGTTAGCTTAAGATTAAGGGAAGCTAGAGAATTATTTAGATTGTTCCTTATAACAGGATAAAATAGTTTCCTATTGAATTAAACCTGATTCTTCTATTTCTTGCTCATGCAAATAGTCATAATAGGAGATTTCAAACTAGGTGATCTAGCACTGGATACTATACTGCCTTAAGGGAGTGCCCACAGAATATTGCATGTGCGTGTGTGTTAGTTACAGGGCTTTGTGCATGCTAGTCAAGCACTTTATCACTGAGCTATATCTCCTTTTAATTTTTTAAAATTTTGAGACAGGGTCTTGCTATGTTACCCAGGTTGGCACTGAATTTGGGATCCTTTTGCCTCAGCTTCCCAAGTAGCTGGGTAGTTACAGTTCTTGCATCTTTGCACAATATTGGTAAGAACAGTTTCAGATTGGATGGTCACTGTGTGTGAAAACTGGCCAGTGTATGAAGGTGGCTGTACTATGTGGATGCCATCATGGAAAATCAGGCAGCCCTAAGTTTGGATCTGGTTTTGTGGTTTCTGCTTGCAGATACGGTACTTGGGTAAATCACTTGGATGAAACAGAGGAAGCTTCTGTTTCCTCATTTGGTAAATGGGGATGATGATGATAGTCATTGGCACTAAATGAACTAACAATAATGGATTTAGCACATTGTCACATTGTCATTGCTCAGTAAATGGCACCAGTGATGAGCAGGAGAGTTCAGTGAATGCCTCTTCCCCAGAAACGAGCCAGATGGAAGGAAGGTGGAGAGAAACTCCATGTGGGGTGAGCGAATGGACTGAATCTCTGAAATCCTTTCTGAGTTTTAAAAATTTTAAGCGAATTATTGCCTCCAAGTTTAAGCATTTAACCGTTTGTTCACAAACATTTTTTTGATTGTAGGGTAGCTTCTGTGTTAACAGGTCAGATGTGGTATAAATGTAGTACATCCACGCTTCAGAACCTATACAATAGTAGATCCTGTTTTAAGTAAAGTGGCCAATTTTAACTGATTTTGAATGAAATTCCTCAAAGAAAAGCTGCTTCTGCCTAATGTCTTTTTCTGCTGAACTGCCACGTCCATTGATTCTGGGATTGTGCCTGATTTTTCTTTAGTTAGTTGTAGATATTCTTTTATACTTCTCAGGCTTATTGAGAGAATAAAATGGAAACATGGTTAAAAAATGCTTTTTAAGCATAATAAAGAGTTTGGAACAGTATGGTTTCATTGAGAAAACTTACATTAGCAGATTATTATTGTTAAATGTGTAGATTATTGTTACCATGTGCAGATTATTGTACCAATAGATGGAGCAGTGGAATAGAATAGAATGATAGAGTTCCTTTTCTGCTTTGTAGTAGCAGTGTTCCTTTTAGTCAGCTTATGTGCGGATTACATTTCCTCTTTTATGATTGACAGAGTACTAATATTTCTCTTGCAGCATAACTATAAGTTTCGAGGAAATTGCATATATAAAACACCTGGCACAGTATCTAAATTATATTTAACATTCAGTTAATGGTCACAGTAATCATGATGACAAGTAATGGCAAATGTTGTTTCCACTTGACTGATGGTGGTGACCATGGAGTTAAGGGACCCCTGAACAGGTACAAAGCCTTTTAGCCCACTTAGTGTCATTGGATCCCACAGTTGTCAGGGATTCTGGCTGATCAGTTTAAATACTAGAAAATTTTCTCATTGGTCATTTGATTATCATTCTAAACAAAAGTTTATTTTTCATGACTTGACTTTTTAAAATACACTCGCATATATACATGCAGTACTTTCTTTTGCTTTTTTTAAAAAAATAAAACAAAAACCCACAACACTAGTTTGTGGTTTATGCTAAGTGGTTGCCACCATCTGGGAACTGCTTGCCCTGTCAGAGAGTCTCTAGTGGTCTAAAGGCAGACTACAAAGAAGACTTATGCCCAAAGAAAACAATAGAACTGTCTTCTCTTGAATTGGAGCT